AGAGCGCAGCTCAGAAAATGTCCCCCTATTGGAGCCCCTCATACAGGGGAGCCTTGGCTTCCTAACCCAACACCCCCAGACCTGTTGCTTTGGTCTAAGCTTTAGCATACAGAAGGAAGAGGACTCATAACAAGTATGCTCTTGAGTGCAGGACCACGGCAATGGCCCACTCTTTTACGGGTTTTATGCAACCCTGTGAACACCTAAAGCTAAAGAAGAACATAACAAAGGAGCAAAGGTGTTGAGGATACATTGAGGATATACACTCCTCCTGGAGGAAGATAAAGACTCTTAAAACTCAGTCCCGAAATCTAAAGCAAGACTAAGGGCAGGAAGGTTGAAAGATTTTCACATAAATATCTACTAACAAATTCCACAGGACTGGTTCCCTGGGCCTTCCTCCAGCCCCGCCACTGAACCTTATGGGCACTCTGCATGAATTTACACACCTGTTGCTCACGCAGCTCACGGTACCAACAAGGAGGGTGGTGGCTGACTCAGCGAACAAGCCTGGGGCAGAAATCAGCAATGCCTAACCGCTCTTTAATTCCAGCTAAAAGTTTTATCATGAGTTTGTCCCTTACAATGTCCTATGCATGACTGAGTGTGTTACACAGCCACTAAAATCATTCCTGTGACATCTGGACTTCGGTTTGTACAAAGGCCCTCAGAGGAAGTGATGTTAAGAGGAAAAAAAAAAGAAGATAATACAACCATAGGTCTCTCAGCTTTCAATTTTCTTCTGATTTGCACTATCACTACTAATGAACACAACTGATCAAAACAGTATCAGTAATTATCAGAATATTAATTTAACATGAAAAGTAGTCAATGGCAAAAGAAAAAACTACGAAAACCAGCACAGTAAACATATCTGTGATTTGAATTATTTCCTATAGCCCTTTGCAAAACCTGCAATGACAATAACAAAAACTTTGTAAATAATCACATCTAGGGGATTATGTAACAGAAATGGAAATAATCTAAATATAAAATCAGGGGACTACAAGAAATAGTTTATGAATCTGGTTTATTTCTCACATACTAAATATAATTGAAGAAAAAAATTAAATAATTAATATATCCAAATTCTTTCTCATGAACAGACAAATATTTACAGAGACTAGATTTTTTTGAGTAGATGCTCAAACAAAAAGTTGGCATATTAAACATAATGCTTGCCCAATAAATTTAATGAAGAAAAAACCATAATGACTGGACAGAGTAAGTCCTCTCTAGGTTTGAAAGTACCAGGAAGACCTGTCTGGGTAGCTCAGCTTGTTGGAGCATCATCCCAATATTCCAAGGTTGCAGGTTCAATCCTCGGTCAGGACACATATAATCTCTCTCTCTCTTTCTCTCCCTTACTCTTTCTTTCTAAACAAATTTAAAAAAATGTTAAAGTACTGGGAAGATGAATCAAAGGTAAAGGAATGATTCACAAAAGGGAGAAAAGCTCATTATAGTATATGTCCTCATTATATCACTTCCCTGATAATAAAGTAAAATAGTAAACCAGACCATTACTGACTCAATAACTTTTTTTATTCTAATTATCACTTATTCCCATACCCTAAATGAGGTTTTAAAAGGCTCCCAACTATTTCAAATCATGGTCAAACTGAAACTTCCGTATATGGATAAAATTCTACAATAAATTTACACCTGTAGCCTTATAACAGTGTTTTCCAGTGACATGTGTCTTCATTCTCCTCCTCAGAACGCAAAGTCTCTGAGTACAAGGCTCACATCTGCCATCTCATTCATATGGTTCCATTCTCTGTATAAGAATGCTTGATGGACCTCACTGCACAGCTGGAATATAAGAATGCACATTCCTCTGTATACAAGGGTGACATCACCAGCTCTTTGTTGTAGAATAAAAACTCTGAATTATAGTTCTACTAATGGTGAAGATAAGTAAAGATACCTATATATCCATCCACAGTTCCTCATTGGCATCCTTCCCACCAATTTTGTGACTCTCCCTTATGGGTTGTATAAGATAGCTAGCTGGTGCCCTGGCCAGGTGGCTCAGTTGGTTGGAGCGTCTTCGCGGACACCAGAAGGTTTCGGGCTTGATTCCGGTCAGGGCACATACCGAGGTGGAGGGTTTGATCTCTAGTCAGGGTGCATATGGGAGGCAACTGATGATGTTTCTCTCTCTCTCAAAAAATCAATAATAAAATATCCTTGGGTGAGATTTTAAAAAAAAAGATAGCTAGCTGGCTCCTGAGTACACCTCAAAACCATGGATAAAAATAAAGATAAATGTCTAAACAAGGGACAAAATACGTGTCCCTAGGTCCATTAACACCGTATTTTATCCATCTCATCTGGCCACACACACCAAGAGTTCGAGAAGGCCAGCTGTCTTCCGAGGACCATTCCCAACCGGGGGCCAGGAGACCTGACGTGGGTTCCACCAGCCCCTGTCCTGGGAACCAAGCTGCAAAGCATCGTCATCAAACATTTTTGCTTCTGTAGCCTCCAAGAAAACTTTAGAATTCTAGTTTTCACACATTTTAAATTAACATTTGAATTTTTAATTATAATTTTAATTAATTGCAAAGGCTATAATTCTGGCATATTGAAATTATAAAAAATTTTAATTAAAACATTTCACTCATTTAAGTGTGTGTAATGAAATCTAAATACCACACCCATTTTAAAACCACCTTCATCCATCAAAAAAAAAATACACGAACAAGCTCTCCTTTCACAGTGAAAAAGGCTGCATTGTTCTCTTTTTCCTTGAACTCGTATTTTCATTCCACTTCCCCACAGGATTTTCTCTTGATATTACGTGTTAATGCTTGAGAGGCTTCCATTAATCTTCCCATTACATTTCTCTATAACAAAAATGTGTATAAAGTGATTTTTAAAAATTTCTTGTGGCCGTGAGGCTAAGTGTTCACTTTTCTTCTGGTTTGAGCTATCATGACTAAGGCGCACAACGGGTCCAAACAGCATTAACATTTACTTGTAAGACTGTTAATGTAGTTAACACAGAAAGTACAACTTCATTGGAAATGCATTTCTAAAGAAATGGATAGAGCTAGTTTATTGCTCTTCTCGATTAGTTCATATACCTATGGAAGAGTATTCCTTATTGCTATAATAAGGTGGGGTTTACCATCAATTCCATACCTTTTTCCCCACTTTTATATATATAAGCAGTAAGATACCTTGTTTACATAAATAAAAACTAAATAAAGACTTATAACAAAGAATTTTATGTATCATCTTACAACCAGATTAAGTCCTCCTTCAATTTTGCTGAAAGTTAAGAAGTAAAATCTAACCTACAAAAAGATGTGTGCCCTGGTCATTATATCCATCCCTTTCCAATAGGGATACCAATATTTTCATAGGCTTTTGTCGGTGGGAAGAGAGTTTTGCCCCGCAGGACAACACACCGCGGGTTCAGGAAGCGATCGGTGACAGCTGTGCCTCTCCTTTGTCAAGCAGGGAAAGGCGACTGTAAGCAGTGAGATGGAAAAGAAGATGTGGCCAAATCCATTTAGTAACTACAGAAGCTGGGACCTGGAATCACCTCCCGAAACTACGTGTGTTTTGTGTCTCTTGGAGAGTGGGTCCTCACGGTCTCCGGAGCGCAGGGACCGCCGCCCCGCCCCAGGGGGTAAGGCCCTCCTCTAGGCAAGGATGCTGCTGCCGCACAGGCAGTCCCTTTAGAGGCCAGATGACGCAAACGAAAGTGCGCTCAGACTAACACAGGAATTCCCTCGCAATCCACCAGCCTATATGGGATCTCAGACCTACATAAGAAGTAATACATTTTTTAAAAGGACAGAAACATAATTCTTGTTTGATCTACTTGAAAATAGAGAAAATGCCTAATAAATTACCATGTTCTGGCAATATAGAAATTAGGCCCAACAAAGGACTGCAAATTCAATACTTTTAATAATCTCAAAGAAAATCTGGGAATGATCCAAATGTCTAATAATAAGAAAGCTACTACATAAATTATGTTACAGCAGCCATATAATGGAAGAATATGCAACATTTTAATTTGAAGTGCAAATATCAACATTAGAAAATATTCTCCATATGATGTTGACTAAAATACACACACAGCAGAAACAAACTTGTAAATACAATTTCACGTTAATGTGTAAAGATATGTGTGTGCGAAGAAAAAGCCTGTTAAAAATGTATTAAACTATTTTCAGTGGTTATCCTTAGGTGGTGTAAATATGGACTGTTTTCTTATTTGTTTTTTAAAGTATATTTTTTACTGACTGTGCTATTACAGTGTCCCATTTTTTTCTTCCCCTCTATCCCCCTCTGCCCTGCACTCCCCCTCCCTCCAGCACTCCTCCCTGCCGTAGTTCATGTCCATGGGTCGTACATATAAGTTCTTTGTCTTCTCCATTTCCCATACTATTCTTAACCTCTCTCAGTCTATTTCTTACCTACCACTTATGCTTCTTATTCCCTGTACCTTTTTTGTTCTTTCCAAATTTTCCACAGAAGTCATGTATTTCTGGGGATGAAGGGAAATAAAAAAATTAGGGCAGTGAGGAAGGAAGGGAAATAGTTTCACTGTCTCAGGGCTGCTGCATGTGGCTGCAGAGTTTGTCACACGGTGGCCAGCCACAGAGCTAGCCAGTGAGAGACTGAATCCATCCCACACGATGTAGAGCTGCATTCCCCCCTACAGGGGGCGCCATATCCTAGTTCACAGTAGAAGATAACTGTCCAGTGTCCGTATCCTCACTTAGGTTATAGTGATTTCTCTCCCTGACCATTACCCTTTCATTTCTGACTTCCCTAGCTCCCTTTGGCTCACAGACTTCCTTTACTCCACAAACAGGTGGAAATGAACGCAGTCAGGTTCCTTTCATGGCAACTTCACAAAATATCTCAGTTCATGTATGTGAATAAGCCACTGGTCGGCAAGTATCATGCTATGAACCAACGAGGTTATCTGGGCTTTCACAAGAAGACGGTGGGCAATTCTCCAGTCTCCTTACCTCAGCAAGTGGGGAGGGATCTTGACAATGGTATCCACACCACCCAGGGTTTCTGCAAAAGGAAGATGACAAAGTTAAAAATAAATATGCACGAGGTTGGAAACTCCATTGCACACAATTTCACTGTTAGTTTCTTTTTCCCCCAGACATTTCTATAATTGTAAAGTAGTCAATTCTCAATTCTTTGACAGCAAATCATTCACACTCAAAACTATTTCTCCCCAGATAGCCCCAGAGACTTCTCTGGGGAAGGTTAAAAATTAGGATGTATTTCCCTACAGAGACACAGAAGGAATAGTTAAATTCCTAACCTAAACCAGAACTTCAATTTGATCTAGTTACAACTGACTAAAGTACTATACTCTTACAATAAAAACAGAGAAAGTTGTTTCCTTGAAACTATGGTTTCAACACCCTTAAATATTTCACATGTGAGGGATTTCAACTCCACAAAGCATTTTATGTAACATCTCATTATTCTTGCACACATTTATGACAATGGTGGGTTAAACTTTTTAAATCATACCATAATTAGATTATGGGAGGCTCACCCCAAATCTCATTAATTCGACTTGGATGTTCAATACTTTACTATTGTTGTGGATTACTCACACTACTGCTGCCTCCAATTGTGGAGATAATGAAAAGGTCACTATTCTCTTCCGGGAAAAAAACAAAAAACTCTTCTATTTCGATAGTCCCAATTTGTCTCCAGTTTTTCAGCTCAGACAGCGCTGACTCCTCTCGTCACTGCTGAGATGTAATAGGCCCTGTCAGTGTGAGCCATCTTCTCCGGGGAGGAGATCCGTTTCTCCCAACCCTGCTCAGAGAGCAGAGGGAATGATACGCAACAAATGTGTCCTGAGACTCAGGAGCAAGAACAGCCAAACCATGATGCTAGGGCCCGGGCTTGTTGTGCCAAGGGGACAAAAAAAATTGGTGTAAGCAAAGCAATCCCCAAAACAGAAAGATGGGAACTGGTCAGATGAGCGCTGCTGTGGGCACAGGCCAAGGGAGGCAGTGAGTGGACTGTGGTCAGGCCTTGAGACAGGATAACAAGAAAATGAAGTCCTGACTGCGCCTCTGGGGCTGGGAACAGCTTGAAGGCCACAAGGGTCAGCACAGCCCAGCAGTCAGCATGGCAGGGCCAGGGTCCAGGACAACTTGACGCTACTCCCCACAGGGAGGTTCTGACACTGAACAACCAAATTGTCATGATTTTCCTCATCAGAGGGAAAGGTTTATACTCCATGCAGAAAGTGCAACAGTGCCCAGTGCCCAACTCCACAACTGCTAGAGGAGCTAACAAGAGGAAGAGAGCAAGGGGAGTTACAGAGCATCCAGAGTGAGCCCATCCCATTCAAGTAGAGATGCAGAGTAGGTAGCTGCACTGGGGTCTGGAGGTCAGAGCGCAGGTGTGGGCTGGTGACAGAAACCTGAGCGTTACATTCTCAGAAACCAAACTGATGCTGTGGTTATGGACATGTTCAGCTCCAGTAGGGCTGGGAGTAAGAGAAGAGGGCCCAAGGGTAGTAACTCCTGAGAAACTCTAACACTTTGTCGGGGAAAAGGAGCTGGAGCTGGCAAAGGAGACAGAGCAGCTCAAGATGTTTGATGTTTGGGCATGGTCACAGAGACCAGGCTGGTGCCTGGTGTGCTCAGCATGGCCAAGAAGACCTGTAAGATGGGCGTGGGGACGGTCTGCTAGATTGGGGTCTCTGTATTTGTCACTGAGAGTGCGTGGAAGGAGGGAGGGGAAAAACTAGAGTGAGTAAAGGATGTGGACACATGCGCTGTGGATACTCTTAGAAGTTCAGCTGTAAAGGTAACAGAAACTGTGGTTGGAAGAAGTGGGTGGGAAGACAGAAGGAAGGCTGGTGGGTAGATAAGACTATCCTTCCGCTACTTGGTGTCCCAGTATCTTAACTTTCTCCTCACCTCCATTTTCCCAGTCTCTACATGAATCCCTGACATAAGTTTTAAAAATGTCTAAAGTGAAGGCATGGTCCCTTCTAGTTCTAATGGTGTGCCGTTCTATTTCACCCTACCTCTCCCAGCTCACAAGCCTGCAGAACTGCCAGTTCTCGAGAGAGAGTGCTGGTGTTTCAGGCTCTCCACAAGCTGAACCCTCCTCTATTCTTTCCTATTCCCTAGTCACACCATTTCCTCATTGACCAAAAAAAAAAAAAAAAAAAATCTAACAAACCAGATAGCACCAAATGGAGGAGAGATACATATATATTCCTTGCCAGTTACTATGCCACTATTAAAAATACCAATTCTCAGAGAAGTATTAATGACATAAAAGTGCTAAAGTTAAAATAGTTAAAATACAAATGACAATCCAGCCTATAGGATATCATACTCTGCAGAAGGGAAATATTCCAAAATGTGGTGTTATTGTGGGTTGCGAGGTTACAGGTGATTTTAATGATTTCTTTATACTGTTTGAATATTGTTCAGTATTCTAAAATGAACACACATAAGTTAAGTTTTATAAATAGAAAAAAGATGAATATCGCTTAAACCTCAAGTCATTAACACGTTGATTTATTCAGCGAACATCCGCCCCTCACCCTGTGGGTGCGGAAAGCCCAAAGAAGCATAAGCAGCAGCCCCGGACACTGCTCAAGAAGCGACGTCCACACTGTTGCCATTTGTCGTTTTCGATGACCAGCATCCACCACCCACCTTCTGAAGCAGCACCCTATCTTTGTTTTGAGGATACCACCCTTTCCTGACCCTGGGACTTCCTTCACTGGGCCTTGGAGCCTAGGTCCAAGCCAGTTACCTCCCTCCATTCCTCAGCTCGAGGACTGACTCGAGGACACACACACAACCCCGAGACTCCAAGAGAGAACAAGTGAAACCAAGGACTGAGCAGCGGTGACTGGAGGAGCTCTACTCTCTTCCGAGGATCCCGCGATGGGCCGAGTGAGAGGCGGTCCCTTTCTCTATGATGGCCTAGGTGGAGAGACGACCCCTTTCTCCTGTGATGATTGTAGTGGGAGAGGACTCCTCTCTCCTGTGATAGTCTAATGTCAGGATGACCCCTCTCCCTTATAAGGGTCCCAGCAGGAGATGACCCCTATCTCTCAAGATGGTCTAAGTGGGAGGTGATCCCTCTTTCCTGAGATGGTCCAAGTGAGACGATCCAATGTGATGATCCCTAAGCCCAAAGCTTTGGAGGTTCGCGCAGAGCATGTTAGAAACCTCAGAAAGAGCAGAGCAAGGTCCTCGGACCAGTGTCTAATTCCCAAACCAAACTCAACCCACAGCCTTCCAAGGGATATTTAGTTAATAAAGTGAATAAATTCTGTTCTGCTTACGTCAGTTTGAATTAGGGTGTTTTTGTTTTTGTTTTTTGTTTTTGTTTGTTTCTAGAACCCAATGTATTAATCAATTATCCTGCCCCCAGAAAGGGGGCTGTGCACACAACTGACTGTAATTCAAAGGATTACAGGTGCTTTAGGGAAGTCATGAGGGCAGGCTCTGAACCCAGAGGACCAACTGCTTCAACTGAGGAGTCCCAGGAATGAATGCTTGCCAAGTGAGCTGGGTCTTAGGAGCCTGCAAGGGGATTCCTGGCGGAAGGCCTAGCATGGGCAGAGACAGAGGAGTGTGCAGAGCACCGTGTGTTCAAGAAAGTGCTGCAGCTTCCTGTAGACTGTCGAACCCTTGGTCGGGGAGCATTTAGAAAGAGGGCTGAGGCTGGATTCTGAAGAGAGTTCTAAAGAATTTATACTTTAATCTATAAAGAAATTATGGGACAGAAGAGTTAAAGTATTTTATAGTTAAACAATAAAAAGAAGAAGACGGTCTGGACCACTATGGCTCAGTTGCTTGAGCATCTTCCTGCAGATTGACAGGTCGCCAGTTAGATTCCTGGTCTAGGTACTTGCCTAGATTGTGGGCTTGTGGGTTCTGGGTTCTGGGCTGGGGTGGGGTTGCATATCAGAGGCAACCGATCCATGCTTTTCTCTCACATCAATGTTTCTCTCCCTCTGCTTCTCCCTTCCTTCCCCTCTCTCTAAAGAATAAATAAATCAAAATAAAATTTATTTTAAAAAAGAGATGGAACAGTGGAACACGGACTGGAGTAGGAAAGATCAGAAAACCTTATCTCTGCGCCTTTGTTCATGCTGCATCCTCCCTCTGACATCGCCTTCTAATAAACTTCTACAGGGAGGAAGTACTTTATTCATCCTTACATATCACTGCTCAGGACAGGGGAGGTCTTGATTTTAAAAAATGTATGATAAATAAATAAGAAAGGAAAAGAAGGAACCCAGAGCTTATCCATTCTTAAGGTCAAATCCACTTCAAAAGTCCCACCAGCTCACAGCCTTCACCCCCCTCCCTTCCCCCCACCCCCACGACCTCAGTTGCCCCCACTTCTTCGATCTGTTTTCCTGGTTGACTCAGTGCAGCCTACACAATGAATGTCCTGCACTGTTATTTAACCCTTTCATGTGTGCATGTCTCAGCTTGCTAACTAGAGAAAGAAAACCTTTCTATTCTTACAGTCAGGCTGGACTCTAGGCTCTTGACTCAGACAGGCAAGCTACTTGCCTCGGCTCTGGCCTTCCTGGGTTGCTTCGAGGACCTAAACTCAGCAAAACTGCAGTTGAACTTAACAGGATGCTGAGCATCAAAGTTCAAACATTAAAAGCACTAGAGTACTCTTCTCCTCCCTTTTATCAACATCTGCTTAAATTACAGCAAAATAATAATGACTACAAGCAATGGTGTGTTTAGAGTACAGTCGGGTCCTGCTCTATTACGCTACCCAGCCACCTGTGACCTTTCAGTAGATGCGTTTGGGAATCTAGCTCTGAATCACTGGGCTGAATGACAATGGCAATGCAAAAACAGCACTGTGGCTTTAAGAGCCTCGCTGCTCACATATTTATCTGGTCCATTTTTCTTTCATAGTAAACAAATGGTCGAGTTCTGGTTCTGCCCACAAGATCAGCTTCCTAGATAATATTCTAGAAAATAATGTGAAAATATGCAGATGTAAAAAAAAGATGTTACTATGATTATCTGGACACACAGCCCCAAACATATGTGAATTCAGACCTAAATATTAACAGAGTCACCTAAAGCACCACAAGAATTTTACATTTAGTGGAAACCTGGCACTTCTCTCTCTTTCCAGTATAATGTGACAAGCACTGATTATTTTTTGGTTGAGAGAGAAAGGGTTTCAATTTTAATGTTTTAATTGAGTGGCAAATGAGGAATCACATGCAGACTTGGGCAAAGCCAGAGGCCCACAGAGCGGCCCTGGTTTCCCCTTGGCCTTTCCTTTTTTGAAAGCATCACTATCACCCAAAGTATGTCCCTGATCTCTTTGCCTCCCCATCCAGACAATCTACTTGCCTGATTGCAATGTCTTTCCTCTTCCTCGGAGGCTGAGTTCTACAGCCTGAGTCTGATAGGAAACACGAATTTGCTGTCTGGAACTTTATTTCAATGCCTGCCCAGCTCACCCATCTCCATCCCACCTGTCTGAAGGCCAGACCACAACAGAATTGCGAAGGTTACACAATCCCAACCATATGTTATTTTTTTCAGGTACAATAAACATGAAAGCTCATACTTAACAAGCTGCCTCTATCAGGAAAATCAAATGAAACACTTAGTCCTTCCTGGTTACACTCGACCATGTGTCGGGATCGGGGTTGATGGTCCAACTTCCGTTTTCTCCACAGGCGATTCAGAACTGGGCCCCTGGATTCGCACCGACTTGCGGTCCTGCCTCCCTCAGAGACGGGTGACCAGGGTCCACTGTACTGGGGATCTGGAGAAGGGACCCGCCCGGCGTGGAGGACAGAGGTTCCCCGTTAAGGTTTGGAAGAAGATACACGAGCCATAAAGGTGGCGGTGGATGTCAACACCTGAATCAGGATTCTCGTTACGCACATCAGTTCAAGGAGGCAACTCTCGCAATTGCGCGAAATGCATGCATAACAGATGCTCAGCGAAAGCGCCCGACGCACAGGGCCGTTTCAGCCTAAGCCCGCGCGGCCCTCGGGCGGCGGTGGCGAGCAGGGACGCACGACCGGCCAGCAGGTGCCCAGCGCCCCGCGCCCCTCTCTGTGCGCTTACCCAGGGCCCAGGTGCAGCTCTCTTTGATGGCTTTGTACTTGCTCCCGGACGCTTCCTTCTGCAGCTTCCTCAGGATCTCTTCCATCTTGACCCTCGCAGGGGCCTGGCAGCCGACAGCGAGAGAAGCACGAGAGGCTGGAGAGGGAAAGCCGCCGCCGCTGCTCCCTGGCCCTGCGCGCCTAGGCGGCCGCTGCGCTCGCCAGCATCCGGCCCTGGTGCGGCGACTGATGAATCACGCCCGCTCCACGCCGCGGGCCACGTCAGTCCCGTCGCCCCGCCCCGCCCGCTCGCCGGGGTCAGGTGCGCTCCGCGCGCGCCTGTGGCGTTGGTGGGCTCGGAGCTCGAGGCTGGGATGGCGCTCGCCAGAGCGGGCCGCCGAGAACGGCCCCTGGGACAGGAAGGCTTCGCGGAAAAGGTGGAGGCGGATGTCCTGAGCCGGCCTGCTGCCGGTCGTCGGCACGGCTCGGCCCTAAGAAGCGTCTGATCACCGCGGGCAGTCAGCTGGGAGGGGCCTCTGGGCTGTCCTCCCCGCTCCACCCCCTGCGCCAGGCGGGCAGGGTTGGGGCGAGGGGAGCGGCTCTGTCCCGGTCGCGGAGACCCCTGCACCCCCTGCTCTGTGCTTTCCCTATTTAATGATCAGCTCCTCTGGGCCACTCTAGGTACCTCTCTCAGTGATTAGACTGACTCTGCTCAACACGTACGCAACGGTCTTTCGTGTGTGTGTGTGTGTGTACAGGTTACTATCCCCATTATACAGACGAAGAAACCTAGCCCAGAAAGGATAAGTTACTTCCCAAACCAACAAGAGTTGGACTCAAAACATCTTGAATCCAAAACCCCTTTATAAAATCCTCTTCCCTTCCTCCCCTCCCCTCCCCTGTGCTAAATTGTTTTCCTCTGTGGCCGGGGGGTAAAAAAGGAAGGGGGCTCACTGAGGTACAAGCAGCAAAGGGCCATCAGACTTGGGTGCGGGTGGGAGAGGGTGGACGAGGAAAACTGCCCCAATGCAGAACCCTTGGGCTGAACTTGGGAGGCGACCCGGGTGGCCAGGGGAGGCCTCAGACCTCGGGAGAGTGCCCCGTGTTTCAGTCACTTGAGTCTTCACTGATGGAGGCCGTGGGGTGGAGGGAAGGGGGAGAAAAGCAGAAATCTCACTGGAAATCTCATTTTCCCCTGTTTTGAGAGCTGTGATTGGGAACTAAGAAAGAATTTGAGGTATAATGATTTTTCTTTAAAAACGCAAATGTAGCGGTGGTGAGGAAAATGAACTGCAGAGCGATGGACTGGCTGCTGTAGCCTAGACAGGAGTTCAGCCAATGTGGGAGGGAAGGAGTGGAGGGACATAGAACAAGGGATGTTTAGGGAGTGGAAGCAGTAGGATTAAGCCACTGGTGTGGTAGCATATGGAATGCCTTCCAAATTTCTTGTTTGAGAAAGTGGAAGGAGGGTGACCCGTCCTCCAAGTTAAAGAGATGGGGAGAAAGGTTCGGAACCCGGGATTTCATGAGTTCGGTTTTAAACATGTTCAGGTTGAAATGATAATGAGACAACCATAGGGTGTGTTACCCATCGGCAGGAACTCAGAATAGAGCTCTGTGGTAAACATGAGGATTTGAACACCCTTAAGTATTAAGATTACTGATGCCTCGGGTTTGGCAAAGATTGCTGGGAGGCAGGGGGTGGAATGGGAAGAGCAGGATGTCAGGGAGGAAGGTGGGGAACTCTTCCCCTCAAGTGATGGGCAGAGGAGCTAACGCCTGAAGAGGAGGCTCAGAAGGAGCCACCAGAAACCCAGGTGTGGGAGGGCAGCCAGGGGAGGGAGTGTCAGGGCGGGTGTCAGGGAGCTGGGGGGTGGGGGCACATGTTCAGACTTCTCACGTCCTCTGGGTTCCGAGGAGGAAAACCCGGCAAAGTGTCGGTCTCCAAGCGTCCTGCTCACCATTTACGCCCCCATGAAGCCACGGTTTTAAAACATGTTTCTTTCCAGTGCGGCAAAAAATAAAATAAAATAAAATAAAATAAAATAAAATAAAATAAAATAAAATAAAATAAAATAAAATAAAATAAAATAAAATAAAATAAAATAATTATAAACATTGTAGTAGATAATATGTTAGACTACACTGTTAACTGAAGAAAATGTAGTACACAACTTTATAGAATATAGAAAAGTAAATTTCAAAATTTAATAACTGAATCATAAGAGGTTTAGAAGAAAATGTGAGTACATTTATCTTACTGCATTAAGATTATTTCTCACAACCAGCTGAGGCAGAAACTGACCAAAAGGAAAGGTAAATAGATCTGCTAATTTCAATATGTAGAATCTGTGTGTCAAATGTTGCATATGAAATTAAATGGCAAATGACACACTGACAGAAAGATTGGAGGAAAGAGCGTAAATCACCTTTTAATTTGGTATTTAAATTTTTTACTCATTAAGAATATTTGTTTATAGTTAAAAACAAATTTGCTTAAGATACAAACTAGAAAAAAATAACCATTTCAAAATTATAAAGTTTGAATAGCTTTGTAAAAAGAGTTTTTACAAAGTATTCAAAAACAGATGCACGCTCTAAAAAATTCAATGAATATGAAGTCAATTCAAAGAGGAAAAAATACAATTGATTTAGAATTTATGAAAAATGTTCAAGCACCTATTAATTAATAAAAAGAGACAAACAAATAAAATAAGATTTTTTATCAATCAAATTGGCTATGAGATTTGAAATGCTATCGCCTAGTTAGGAAGGAGCTGGCTGATTAGGCCCTGTCCCGTCCCGGGGGGTGGGACCGGGGGCGGGGGGGGGGCGTGGCGTGGTGAAGATGACCTGGTGCTGCAGTCCCAGAGGGAGTCTGGACGTGCACACAGCATACACGGGGCTCTGACCCAGCTCTCTCATTCCAGGAAGTCATCCTGAGTGAGCGACTAGGGAAGTGGATAAAGATTTTTCTACAAGGATTTCAATGTGTTGTTCAATCTTTTTTTAAAAGTTGAAAACTTTAAATAAATGTCCAATAATAGAGAAATGGATAATCTATGATATATGTATCCATAAAGGAGCATACTGTAGAGCCTGTAATAAAAATGTGGGATATCTGAAACTAATATAAAATAATATTGAATGTAAACTAATTTAAAATAAAATTGAATCCCCTGGCTGGCGTGGCTCAGTGGATTGAGTGCCAGCCTGTGTACCAAAGGGTCGCCAGTTCGATTCCTAGTCAGGGCACATGCCTGGGTTGCAGGCCAGGTCCCCAGCAGGGGGTGCTCAAGGGACCATCACACATTGATGTTTCTCTCCCTCTCTTTCTCCCTCCCTTCCCGTCTGTTGAAAAATAAATAGAATCTTTTAAAAAATAAAATAAAATGACAAAAAAGAATAATGTGGGAGAGACATTTTGAATAACATGAAAAGTGGTTTCTATGTATTTAAACAAGAAGATTGTAAATGCTATGTACTAAATGATTTCAATTTTATTATTTAAATATTTGATGTGGATATACACATAAGTTAAAAAATATATACCTATATAACTGGAAAACAAACATGAAATATTAATAGTGTTTATATCTGGTGGGGTTATCAGTGAGTTTATTTTCCCCTTCAACATTTTTACTTTTACAGTTGCAAAGCATTTTTTTAAGGTAGTGGAAAAATGAAATAAAAATAATTAGGTAACAAGGTCAATGGCAACAGAACAGACCAAAATAAACACAGAAAAGAACCTAACAGATGTGAGACTTTAGGTAGAAAGCCTGCCCCAGAATAGTAATGAGGGCAGAAAGCCTGGTTGCGGAGGGCTGAGAGCAGGTAGAAACACTAGTATAAACAACCCCCCACTCAGGATGCTGGCTATGGAGAAGAGGGAGAATCATTAAAACACTGTTTTAAAACATCAACTCACAGTAGAAAACAAGCTTTTTATCATCGCCCAGTATACATATAGGTATTGTATATATTCAAAACAGAAACAAAATTTTTATTTATAAAACAATACTTACTGTTAAATATGATAGAGTTACTGCGAAGTATAATTTTATTCATTGTTGCAGGCACTCTTGCCTGTTCTTAAATTCATTCGAGGCTGGAGGCATGAGAACAATGCTACATGCACAACCTACCAGCTTCTTGCTTTGATGTCTATTTCTTCCCACTGTTCTTAGTTACGTTGTTTAAAAATTCTGGCTCACGCAGTAAGTTGCTGTGGATGCTATTAATAACAATATACTCTACTCAGCAACTAAAATTGCAAATTTCAGCAGATTTTTCTTGAATCTTAATCTAAAATGGTGATAAATTTCTTCAATGTATTTTAATAACAAAGCATTAGTAATTAGTTTCCCTCTTTGGGAATCATATGTGGACTTAGGATTTTGAAAAACAAATGGACTTTTATACAAATGCTTTTCCTTGCTATTTCACATTTCTGAAGTTTAAAACAGACTTGCAACAACATTAATATCTTTAATTTTATTCCATTCAAAGTGTCTTCATTAAGAATGAAGCACATGTTGAAAATGTTGAGCACATACAGTACCATGGCGATTACTTTAAATGTTTTTTGTAACTTGGAAATACTCAGCTTCTTGCAATATATTTTTACTCTTTCCCTGTAGATCTAAATTCACTTAATTAAAAATGTAAAAAAGTGAGCTATATATGCCAATTTTGTTGCTGAAATATCATCTCAGAAATGTTAGCTCCCATTTAAAACAGAAAAAATGTGGCTCCCATTCTTGCATTCATAAAGCTTAATTAGTATCTCCTCCAGACAGCCAATGACCCCCGCAGGATAGCATGCATGTATTCGATAATGGAAAGGATAAGCAGCTTTAACAAGGACCTGATAGACACAGTACCATATAGAACACAGACTTTTCTTTCTCTCTTTAGTGAAGCCCCAAGGGAGTGGTCCATGTTGGCACAGCAGTTCCAGGAGACCATCATCCCCTAGAGATTCGTTCCCGTTTGTGTCATCAAAGGTGGGTCCCAGGTGGGCTGTGTTCTAGTGCATAAGAAGAGGAAGAGAGTAGATGAGCCCAGGCTTCAGATGTGCAATAGAAATCACACAACCCGCTTCTCACTCTGCTGGTGAAGACAGGTGCAGAGACACGACTGTATGGCAGAGGCGGTCTGGGTCTGGGGCCCCATCACGGCTCTGCCCCTGGGGCAGAGGGAGCAGCGGGTTGTGTGGTGGCCACCCACCTCAGCCACAGCTCCCATTTCTTAACAAAACAAATCAAAAAGTAAACCTTTCTTTTAGTGAAATTAAATGACTGTCACTACCTTTGTTTTCAACTTCAAGAGACGTGGCAGAATCCCTAGGATGCCAAATCTGTACCATGTATGAAAGTGATTCCAGATAGTAATGCAGATGGTAGTTTCCGACAATGTTTTAAATTACTTTGCTGCTTCCTGGTCTTACTAGCTTCTGAGTCACTTGCACTTCCAC